ACCTTACATTGATCGACACCTCTGAACGGCATTTTGGGTGTAAAGACGTCGTACCAATGATATTCCCTGGTACAGGAGATCGTAATGCGTTTGTTAGCACGTGACGAGGCAGACAATAAAATTACTCGTTATTGGAACCCCAGCCATCTTGGTATACAGGGACATGAAATGGCTGACGCGGCAGCAAAACGAGCGGTACTCGTGCCGTGTACACGTGCGCCTCCACCCCCTGTGCGAGACTTTTACGCAGCCGTTAGTACATAAATTCACAGTAGGTGGCAACGTAGCTTGGATGCGATGGCAAACAACGAGCCTCACGTCATAGAACTCCAGCTGGAGCGCTGGCAGGCCTGCCCTCACCGGGCTAGATGAAAAGAAATAACACTCAATGGCTGCGCATTGGCCACATCCACGCACCTCACGGGTACATACTTTGTGGCAAAGGGGGACCCCCGTGTTCTCGCTGTGCTGAGCCACTTACCGCACACCATGTGATCAGCTCGTGTTCGCATTACAAAGTCGTGCGTGTGCGCTCATTGGAAGGTGTGGTTCAGCGCTTTAATATCATGATGCTCTGGGAAATGATTCACTTACTTGACGCGCACAAGCCATGTGCTTTCCTGAGAGCTGTTGGTTTATCAGCCATACACAAACCTGGTTTTATAGTTAACACTTCGTTATGGGCGCCAGATAACCGTAGATGTCGGCGCGAACCAAAACCTCATTTGTCATCATCAAGGATCGGTTTGTCATTAAAGATCAAGAACTGCTTGGACTTTCCTCGAACCCATGTCTGCAGAGTGCAGTAGGAGCTGACATCAGACCGTCTGTGGGCAGACTACGAGCCAGTGGTCAGTAAGGGCTGTAGACGTACATGTGTACCTCGCGCTACTCAAACTTTTCTACGTCGGCTCGTCCCATTCATTCTTCGCCACAATGCAGCGAACAATAAATGGGTATGCCATAAGTAATACGTAATAAATAATGGCTTCACTGCCAGTCGGCTTGCTTGCTGCAGGTCAGGCCTGTGGTGCCGTCTGTGTGCATTGAGCGTAAAACGAGCGCGGTCGGCGACGAACAGCTGGGGAGACCGTGAATGGTTCGGACCTGGCTGTGCGGGTTGAGGTGGAGGGATGAAGTGGGAGAAGCTGAATAGAGAGAGAGACTTGGAAGGGAAAGATCTTGATAGATCAGACAAATATAACAGCGCAATTGACAACAGTCATATCATAGCCAAGCTTTTTACATTGGGGACAACCTTTCGGCCTTGGGCTTCTTCAAGTCTTTGAACGTTTCGCCTGCCGGAGTTGTGGAAGGCCCAAGACCGAATGCGTCTCTCCGATAGAGAAAGTTTGGTTATGATAAGACCGTGACCTTTAATTATGCTGCTAACCTGTTCATGAGTCCCAGGCCTGCATTCCGTCACAGAAGCCAATGAGATTTCAACCTGAGAGAACAAGGTTTGATATCAGAAGGAAAGGCCTAGAGCTCCAGGCTTTCCAGCATCATGAGATGCTAGCTGAAAACCGCGACCTTTGGCGTACATGGATGCATCGGTTAAACGACGTTATCAAACAATCACTTGGATATCTTATGTTAATGCTCGATGTTTCATGGCAGTGCAGTGTTCATGGTCGCGAGCGACCGTCATAGTGATTGACTAATGACCGCTTGTTATCGTCGCTTAGCCGGCGCTTCCTGGTATAACGTCTGTCATTTCCAGCATGATGTTTCATAATGAGACCAAAGTTTAACAGAGGGGGCAGATGGGCAACTAACCGCATCCCGCGATCTGACAAAAGCAATCATGTTAGCGTAGAAACTGGGAACCCAGCGTTCATTATGAATTAAGAGTTCTTACGTTATCAGCTACCAACCTTCGATATGCCAGGAGGTGCCTAATAAAATGACGTTCTCGAGTCAATGATTAGATATACCCCGTCACGCCAGATGCACATACATACGCCCTTGACACTTGGCGCACCTCCCATTTGGCCCTCGATACCTAAAAATACACAAGCCGGAGGACGGTGTTACGTCAGATGCACATACACACGCCCTTGACACTCGGTGCACCCCACATTTGGCCCTCGATGCTTTAAGCACCCAAAGCTGAGTCCAGTGCTTCAGTGACTAATCACGTACCATTGACTATTGCCTAGTTACCTGACGGTCTCTTGGATAGCTACGTCACAGACGGGCGACTATGGGTTCCATGTGTTACGTCAGAGGATGGCAGTCTCGGGTCACCTTGCCGAAGAAAACTTTGCCAATGTAGGCTTGGCCGCTAAGGTTCCGTTGGTGAGAGCCGAGTGTCGGCGATACTTATGCTTACGTCTGCTGCGTACAGATGGCAGCACGCCCGCCGTGTTCCGTTCTTCCGATGGCCTGGCTGTTGGCTGAGATATGGTCGTCGCGTCCGATGGATGGGCCAGCGGTCACCCCGCAGCTGCAGATAGGCGGCAGGCCGTGAACGGATCGGCCACAGCGTCGGCTGGCCTCCGGTCCCGGGCCGCTCCCAGAGGATCGCTCGGTGTGACCCCGGGAGGTCGCTCGGTGCGACTTCTTCACCGCGGTGACTCCTGTCGCCGAGTTCTTCGGACCTCTCTGCGCGAAAAGGCGTACTCCGGTGAATTTCCTGCGGACATGTATGTTGCAATGCTAACCAGTCGCCTTCAACTATGCACGTCATTGCGCCTGGACCCTGCTTGTGTGCGTGTGTTCCTACGTGAATAATGTTCCTCGCAAATGCACCGAATAACTTACGAGATTTGTAGTCTTTATACGCCAGCGAGTAAATACAATGAACATGATCACAGACAATGGGTTTTAAAGGCGCGTCTACTGCAATTGTTATTTGTACCTCAGAAGTACGATCACGGTGGTAGTTGTGCAAATAACGCTTTTAGTATAATTAAAATGAATGCAGGGTAGAATGAATACCCTTCGTTCACATCACAGAAACTGTTCACGTCACTCAAACAATGTCATTTATACGCTTGCCACATCAAAGTTTGCGGACATTCCATCATGCCTCAGACTTGCCGACATCCGAAGTGCACTGGCCGCACACCAACTGTTATTCAGCGTACAGCGTCCCACAACCAGCGCAGGGACGCACGAGAGTGCCCTACGCGAGACAGGCACGCTGCCGCTGTAAGTGACACAGTCACGCAACAGTCATCAGTCGGTCTGCCCGGTCGACTCGAAAACATGTGATCAGGGCGACTCGACACCGAGACGACTGCGGCAGATCATCCGCTACCCGCTCGAGTGGCACACGGCGGCTGGGATCGGGCAGGCTGCCCTGCGCGCGGCCGACGGCTGGGCCCGGGGCTGGATGCCCTGCGCGGCTGACGGCCGGTCACGGGGCACGCTGCCCTGCGCGCGCCGTCTGAGTAGATGTGGAACGCTCGTGATGAAGCTAGCGTTAGCAGAACATTGCCTTTCTGACCTTTGTGTCTGCCGACATTACGGCGCATTCTGTATTGACCCAGGCGCTGCCGAGCTGCCTGGGATATATCCACCCGGCTAACCGAGCGTTACGAACGAGCCGAACGATCCCATCGTATCTTGACGCGCACCTCGGAACGAATGTCCTTACCAGATTCGTGGCGTATGGCAAAGGTCCATGACCTGCCATGGCTTAGGTAGCCTCAATTCGAGCCTCAGGGTGCCACGGAGTTCGGCTTATGGAGGAGGGGGCGACCGTCGCATGATTCAAGAGGTTTTGCTCAGCGGCCGATCCAGCAGCAAATCAAGGTGGTAATCTCTCAGAATGCCGCCTAAATTTGCGTAAGCCCGAGTCAGAGGCAGGCAGTTACCGCCATGGAGGGCTTTTGGCTCCTTTGGCCCACTTGGACCGGCCCCGTTCGCTGTTGAATGTGATTCCGCGTGCTCTGTTGAAACGTCTGTCAATGAAGCTTTCAAATAATATCACACTGCAGTTTTAAATGTCCATGACAAGGGTTCAAGACAATCATTTTCAACTATTTTTGCCGGAACATTAATTTTTCCTTCGCGCTCACCCGCACAGAAACTGAACACGACGTTGTATCGGCGATACCGAGACACTGACGGCACCGAGACAATAATAGGTCACGTGCTGCAATGTTAATGAATGGGATGGAGTTCAGGTCTCCTTTAGCAAACTGAAGTGGCCTGGCCACGTGAACTGCCAGTTACCAGGTCAGTTCACAGGGTCAAGCGGTGCCCCAGCCGCTCACCTGGTTTAGAAGTGACCCAGTCCTATCTGGCAGTGGCTCAGTTTGGTTATGCGAACCGGGCCTCTGCAGCTGCTCCTGCCGCACATTCTTGCGCTCAAAATAGCCGGCCTTCGATAAACCAGAAGGTTCTGGTTAAATGAAGACATCAAGCAATTAGCAGAATGCATTGTAAGGCTGTTAGAAGCTCTAATGCTGTGTTCATCACCAGGAGTGTGCCATGCACACCGCCCTGACGCGTCGAGCATTCTCATAGCTCATCTTGATGACAGCCTGACGGCTTCGTTGAGCTAGTACTTTCCGCAATGTTGACAGCCGGCTATTTTAAGAGTGAGAACTCTTAATGCGGAAAAATCAGAGCTCGAGGTTGTTCTTGTGATATCAGGAAGAGCACACTGGCAAGTGCCACTTTCGGCTGTATTTACCCTGTTGAGCACCGCTCACCGAAGCCATTTGGGCGCCGGGCTGACTGTGGTGGCTAGCCCAGGCCCGGCGGCTAGCCCGGCCCGGCGGCGCCCCCGAGTCGGGTCACCTGCTCGGCGCCGGCGGCGGCAGCTGGCCGGCGCGCCATTGATTGGCGCGGCCCGCGTGACGTCACCCTCCCACGCGGCCGGCGGCGGGGGCGGGCCGCGGCGCGCCAGTGCTCTGCCGACTGGCCGGGCGCGTGCGTCGGCGACCCGGAGCGTCCTCGGTTGCGCCGACGTGGTCCGGGCGCTCCGTCATCGATCGCTCCCCCGCCCCCGCCCCGGGCGCCGTGCGCGTCGCCGCTGCCGCCATATGGTGGGTTTGGCCGCCGGACGAGCGGTGCCATTCAACAGGTGCAGCGGCATGCGGGCGGCCGGGTAAGCGGCGTCGCGCGCGCCATGTCCGGCAAGCCACGCGTCAAGCAGCGCCACCGGTCGCCCGAGCTGTGTGTGCACCGGGAGATCAAGAGGACGCTTGACCGCTGCCTGGAGCCGTGCGGCGTCTATCTCTGCACGGCCCTCTCGCCGCGCTGCCTCATCCTGCACAAGGTGAGCCAGCGAGCGGAAGGGCGCAGGTGGCGGGGGGAGGGGGCTGGCCGCGACCGGCGCTCGACCTCTCCCGGCCGCCGCCGGCCTGCCATATGGCACGACGCGCCGCGCCGCCGCCGCCGGCGCCGCTGGCCGCCTATCTGTCGGCGTCGGCGGCGGCGCCGGCTCCTCAGGTGCCTGCTGCGCGTGTCTGGCGGAGCGCCGTGTTGCCAGGGGGCCCGGACTCACCGGACCGGGCCGGTACCTCGCCGACCAACGGCTGGTCGCGCTCCAGTCTGTGCAGGGCATCCCTGATCCATTGCTATGTTTACATCGACAGCAGGCGCCTCTGCGCTCCCCGATCCTGATCTGTCCGTGGCGCCTCTGCGCCCCAGATTCCGACTTGTCCGTGGCGCCTCTGCGCTCCCGATCCTGATCTGTCCCTGACGCCTCTGCGCTCCCGATCCTGGTATGTCCGTGGCGCCTCTGCGCTCCCCGATCCCGATCTGTCCGTGGCGCCTCTACGCTCCCGATCCAGATCTGTCCGCGGCGTGACATCTGTAGCGGACATCCGCAGACGATGTCCCTCCCTCCCGGCTACGGAGCAGTCCTGTGGCCGGGCTCAGCCAGTAGGGGCTGTGCTTTTGGTGGCGCCGCGGATCTAGACCGCATAGGGCGGCCAGGGGAGACACAGCAGAGGAGTGGGACAGCCAGATGGTAACCCGCCGGGCAGGCTGGAGCAGCCAGGAGGTTGCCCACTCCGCCATATCGGACTGGGGCGGCTGGATGCCGATACCCCCCTCCCACACCCTGGGGCAGCCAGATGGAGGGCGTGTCTTCTGTCTGCCAGGCCGGCGGTCACGTGATGACCTCCCAGACAGATAAGCCAAGCCAGACGGTGACTCGTCCCAACAGACTGGAGAACCAAGCGCCCCCGGCCCTGCACAGGCCGGGCCAGCGCGACGGTGGCTGCCGGAGGCCTAGGCTGTCAGAGGTCGTCTCTCAGCACTGACGGACAAGCCAGGGGACGAGCCCACCCCAGACGGACTCGGGCGCCCGGACGGTGTCGACAACCCTACCCTCCGCCAGACAGGGCCGGCCGGGCAGCCGGCGGGCGGCACGGGTCGGCCGCCGCCGCAGGGGCGACCGGGCCCGCAGCACCGTTAGCCAGCGCTGCCGACCGGTCTCGTGGGATTACTGCAGCGGCCACCCTTTCTAAACGGCGCCGGCCGAGCCGTCACCGCCGCTGCCGCCGCCGCCGGGGCAGTCAGCCGCAGGTGGACGGGAAGCCGGCCGGCTAGGGCCGGACCAGCGGCGCAGGCACTAGATGACATTTCGGGAGGGGGGCGCGTGTCCGGGTGGTGATAACTGGAGGCAGAAAGGCCTGCTGGGGAGCCCGGTCTCGTCGGAGCCAAGGCCGGGCGTTGGTTGATAACTTACCAGTCTGTAGGCTGATAACTTGCCAGTTTGTCGGCTGATAACTTACCAGTTTGTCGCCGGTGAACGAAACTCTGTCCGGGTGACAAAGCAGATCACATCCAACGCATTCTCAGTAATTACAAGTAATGGCAGCTGTTGAAATGGCTTGAAAATTGCACCACTTGAGTGGTGCATGAGTGCTCAATTTCTGAAACAGTCATCCGAATATTGCAGTGCGGGCGACAGCACGAATTGGCATCAGCAGTCGGCACATAAAACAGCAATGGACGACAGCTCTAAAGTAAACTAAGCAATCCCATAGCAGATGCGTCCTATTTTAGCGCTTGACATGCCGATAAGCTCCTTTATTTTGATTTTACCTAAAACGAGTAAAAACCCGTTTCATAAAGTTCACAAAGCTAGCTTGTTCTCGACAGCTGATGCGTGGATGCTTTCGTGCTTTTTCTCTGGCTATAATCGCGACAGTTCGTGGGATGCAAGTGACCGCACGAGTATAGATTACAACGCCGCCACAGCGCAGGTGTCACCTGCTGTGCTCTCATCCCATCATGCCAGTGTCAAAGATATCTGATTTATGTTAAAGATATTTGATATCTGACGTATCTGGCCATACTGTTTCTGTGTTAAACGCATAGAAAGTTGTCGCATATTCTTCTGATTTTTCCGGTGTTCTACTTTTTGCTATTCTTTACTTCACTTTACTCGTGATAATGTCGCAAATCTTTGGACTTTGGGCAAAGCGTAAATTTACCCTGTCAATGAGTGCCCAGCTCGCTACAACGATGGCATAGTCGAGGTATTATTAAAAGGCCATCAGAACTTGTCCCGCCTGGGAGAGTGCGCACAGTAAATGTGTCGGACCAAGACGATTTCAGTCAATAACCCCTTTATAAGCACTGAGTCGGACCGGCGAATTTATCCACAGTTTAAACGGCAGTGGAGTCAACAAACCTTTCATGGCACGAAAGTCGAAGACAAAGAGCTATTTTGTCGAGACTAGACAAGACGAATGGTGCGTATAAAGTAAATGAAAGCGCACCACGTACATGGCATCCGAACACGTCACATGAGCTGATAGCAACCAACAACTGAAGCTTGCTGTCTACAAGAATAAACCCTCTAGGAGGGCCGGCTTGAAAAACATGTGGTTTACAATTTTCAGGGCCCACAAGAGGAATGCAGGCCTCGTTTTGTGTACTACGTTGGCGTCGCCACCAGTTCACTATCTCTACGTTTGGCGATGTGACTGTAGGTGTCTCACGCACAGAACAGGTGCCTCACGTAATCATGCACGCTAACAGCACCGTGCTATCACCGCAGCTGACACCACTGGCAATGCTGCCATCTCGACAGTATGTCACGGCGCCAGAAAGCTGATGGCCTCGGAAGCTTTACTTACATGTATCTCCCCTTGCTCTGAACAAACGGAGTTGAGCTTTACGCTGGGAATGTGAGCCCTAAGGGTTTGAGATAAATAAACAAGTGTCTGATGCGTGTGTTGTTGGTTGTTTCTACACTGGTAAGCGTGTTCATTGATGTTTGTGTATGTAAATTAGTTCCTCGCTCAGATAAATGGGGCCGATTAGCAAATGGTGCGCTCCGTTTGTTCCTGTAGCTCAGTTGACTGGCTGAAGCGCTTGTTTTCCGATTCCTTCAAGCGTGGCGGGGTGGTTTCGAACTGCTTTAAGCGCTCCATCTTTGCTTTCGACTTTGATGGCTTGCGGCTGGTGGCAGCAGCAGCGCTTAAGGTCAGGTGACGTCAGCGGGTTGGACCGACCGGCCGAGCATTACGGCACATAAAACTATCGTCGCAAAATTCTGTCTTTGACCTGAAATTTTTTCACATCTGGCGTTGGGATCATGACTCAAGCAACAAGCGTTCAGACCAGCACTTTTTTAAATCCTGGAACACGTTTTCATGTCTGTTTTTGTGCATGAGAGCAGTTCAACGTCTGAGGGACCGAAAAAGCATTTTTTCGAGAATGGCCTTATAATAACTGATTATTACCCCATAAAAACTGCTATAGGGCCGTTCATACCAGCTCTGGTGACGTTGGCCGCCGTGCTGACTGACGAGACTGGTCACTGCGCCAGCTCTGGTGACGCTGGCCGCTGTGCTGACTGGCGAGACTGGTCGCTGCACCAGCTCTGGTGACGCCAGCCGCTGTGCTGACTGACGAGACTGGTCGCTGCACCAGCTCTGGTGACGCCGGCCGCCGTGCTGACTGACGAGACTGGTCGATGCACCAGCTCTGGTGACGCCGGCCGCTGTGCCGACTGACGAGACTGGTCGCTGCACCAGCTCTGGTGACGCTGGCCGCTGTGCTGACTGACGAGACTGGTCGCTGCACCAGCTCTGGTGACGCTGGCCACTGTGCTGACTGACAAGACTGGTCGCTGCACCAGCTCTGGTGACGCCGGCCGCCGTGCTGACTGACGAGACTGGTCGCTGCGTCAGCGCTGGAAGGACTAGCAGACGTGACGGCCCTGGTGAGAACCGGTACCGAATTTCCCTTATCTGGTGATGCCAGACCATGTACTACCAGGGTTATTGAGATGCAAACCATGAAGCTACGTATTATGCACAGCACACCGCCTCCCTATTAGAGCTGATTTGCCGTAGCAGTCATTAATTACTTGAAGGTTGAACAAGCACAGCTGGTCAAAGTTAAGTTGGTGATTTGATCACGAATGGAAATCATGCAGCGCGATTGTCATCCCGAAAAGGTGAAAGAGGCACACTCTATGGGCTTTGCGAAGCATTTGATGTTTGTCAAATTACAGTAACATTTTTGAGCGGACAGGTTTACATAGGGTATATATATATATATATATATATATATATATATATATATATATACATCTACAGTAAGCTCGAGGTTTCAAAGAAAGGTATATGGTTTCAAAGAATAATTTATGAACGGCCCTATAGCAGTTTCTTGTCTTTTCCATAACTCAATACTTCATTGAAGCAGTATGGTGTTTTGCCCATGCATATTGCTCAGATTGTGCTATGTTCATAAATGACATTGCTGACAATGCCCAGGGTGTTGTTTAGCCACACAGGGTATCCTGAGTTTTGGCCAAAAAAAAATGGTGGGAAATGCTACATTTCACTGTGCGATACCACTTGTAACCACTTTCACCACTTGTTCACTTGTAAATCACTTGCTTATCACAAAATGTAATCATGATAATTTTTGCAAAGTGCAGTTTAATCTATGGTTTTTAGAGGTGTGTGATGACTTGGCTTCCGCGACGCCGTAAATGGTCGGGTAATCAAGAAAATGGCGAAAAGTTTTTGCCGACCAAATCCCGGATTCGCTCACGTTGGCTTTCGACCAAGTTTTTAGGCTTTAACTGGGGTGACAAGTCGACATTTTTGTAAATACCCTCCTCCCTTTTGTGCTGCTTGAGTGGATTGTCTGGCAGTTTCAGTCCTCCAAACATACATTTATCTTTACGTGTAGGCCGGTTGTTTAGTCCTCTTTGTTACCCCAAATGAAACTGAACAAACTTTAGTCTGCGGTTCTCATTAGGAGTTCGGATATTTTCGGCAGTGCACTCTTCAGGTATGCAAG